ATTAAAAATTTAGATACGTATTCACCCGTAATTGAGTGTAAGCAAGACCGGTTGCTGAATTCTTCAGGAGCCAAGTTCTTTCCTTTGGCCTCCTGTATGAAAATTATTTTAGTGATATATTCTACATGCATGCATTGACTATTTTAATAATCTCCTGCCATTTCTCTGTTTGGGTTGAATTAACTTATTTCAGTTGTAAATTAATGGGTTAAGTTAATTGTTAATTTATTTGTTTGTCTTATGATGTTTAATTAAAAATATGTCCTTTTTAATTATATTGTGGAATCATTAATCCAAGAACACATGAATATATAAATTAATTATGCAATGGCGCCATTTGTTAAAAACATATTAGCATCTGTTTTTGTAGTATTTCTAATCTATATTGTTCTATAAAAGAATGAATTTAAACTATTTTTTTGTTTTCTAACGAAATTAGGTTAGTACTCTTTGTTCTTGAAAAACAGTTAAATTCCTTTTTTTATATATAAACCATATATTTACATTAAGAGTTGGGGAAATAAATTGGTTTTGAACTTGTAATTTATGAGATTCGGACTAAGATCGTTCACTTATAAGTAAAAAGAATATTAATACACCGTAATACTAAGTAACTTGACTTTATTGTGTTCTAAATTTTCTTTTGAATTCGACGATGATTATAATTTACACCTATATACGCATGTGTGTCCAAAATTTAATCTTTTCATAACTACTAATAGTCCTTCAAGGCTGCCTTGTTGATCCCCATTTTATCAGAATATCTCCGTGTGTGTTGAGAGAGAGAGAGAGAGAGAGAGAGATATATATATATATATTTCAACTGGTGCATATTCAATGAGAAACTTTTAGTTGTGACAGGAACACGGATAGTACACAATATGTTTTTATGCAAGTGGTGAAAAATTTTAAGTTTTAAGTTATTAACCTTTAATACACATAACTCACTATTTATATAAAAACACGTGATGTACCACCTCGTATGACGATCACACTGAAAAATCTCTTATATTCAACCGAATGTCTCGTCATTATTCAACTTTGCTTTTTAAGTTCATTATTGGTTGTCATGCGTCCAAGTCTCACCAGTCATTGTCCCTTTCATATACATTTTTCTTCACTATAAATGGCATTTCTTTTTCTGTCACACCAGGTAACACTATAAATGGAAAATATCTTTTACAATACTCCAAAATCTACCATGTGCTTATGCTATAACATAGTGTATAAATGTACCTAATACAATAATGTCATGAATAATCCAAATCGAATTTGTAATAGTGATATTCTGACGACCATTTCATAGACAGGTTGAATCAACGTCATATCTGTTCTTTTTAAATAATTTGATTACATAAAATTAACTGCAAATGCGTAAATCATGCTGAGTTGTTGATTGAATGAAGGTATAAAGTTTTCATTTGAAATGGTTAAAGTATCACCTCAAGCTTTGTGGTAAGTTTCATTTTCTATTAGACTAGGAATAGAACCACCTCATACTTTATATATAAGTGAAGAGACCATGGCTACCACTTCACCATTATTCTAAGCTTTTCCATCTCTCTCTTTTTGTATATACGAGGGTAGACATTCAAACTTCACGTCTTTCTTTTTGAGAGTTTTGCATACCAATTGGAGGAAACCAATCAATTCGATGCGCTGAAGTCAGAATTGGGAAAGGTTTTGTAATTTCTAGTTGCGTTGAAATTTTGAATTATAGATTGGAGAAATTTTTAGTTGTGTCAGGAATACAAGTGGTATACCACCAGGGCCGGTCCTGAGAATTTGGCGGCCCTAGACGAGGGCCCTAAAATTCTCTAATCTCCGGTTCTTTGTATAAAAAAGAATTCGCTAAATACATAAAAAGTTATATTTTCACATCAAATATCATTAAAAATTAATATCAAAAGAAGATAAATATACAAACATTATTTAAACATTACATGATTCACGTTTTTAGACACAAATGTACTAAATGTTTGCAGTTAAAAGTTTAAGATTGAGAGTGAAGAACAATAAAACTTGATGATCAAGAGAGTAAATAACAATAAAACTTGATTGACGAGTATAATAAATTCAATGCTAATTGTTTCTCTTGTTTTTTTTTCTTTCTAAAATCAACATCACACTAACGAATTGAATATTAAAATAATCCATTGAATAAAAAGTTATTGAAAAGAAAAATATAAAATTCAAAGTTTTGATTACCTTAAAGTACAATATTTAAGACCATATGATAGTTGGTTTAAACATTCGATATAAATGAAGAGAATGAGAAGTTGAAAGAAAAAAGATTGCAAAGAGACTTGAGTTTTATAACTTTATATGTAGTTGGACAGATGGATTGACAGTAAATTTGAAAAACAAGAAAAATCTAGTGACTGAAAGGCATCTTCGTGTTTCGAACTCAACACCCCAAAGAAAAATGAAGCCAACATTTCCATTGCACTAACAAATGAATTATGATATTTCTTTTTTTTTTTTGTATTTATATGTTAATTACAGGATATAAAATTTTTTTGGGGGCCCTTCTAAAGTGGGGGTCCTAGGCGGGCGCCTACTTGGGCTATCCTTAGGGCCTGCCCTGTACACCACATGTTTTAATAGGAGTGGTGAGAAATTTTATTTTTTAAGTTATTAACTTTTTAGCACACATATCCCATCATTTGTATAATGACACATGATGTACCACCCCGTATACCGATTACAGTGAAAAATCTCTCTATAGATAAAGGCCAAAAACGAGAGACAACTTATAGATGATTTGGTGTGATAAAAAGCAATTCGAAGCTCAAGGGTCCTTGATTTTCTAAAAGACGTAAGCAGCTTTCGATGATTTGATATTTGGCCTCCCGTATGAAAATTATTTTAGTGACATATTCTATATGCATGCATTGACTATTTTAATAATCTCCTGCCATTTCTCCGTTTGGGTTGAATTAACTTATTTCAGTTGTAAATTAATGGGTTTAGTTCATTGTTAATTTATTTGTTTGTCTTACGATGTTTAATTAAAAATATATGTCCTTTTTAATTATATTGTGGAATCATTAATCCTAGAACACATGAATATATAAATTAAATATGCAATGGCGCCATTTGTTAAACCATATATTTACACTAAGAGTTGGGGAAATAAATTGGTTCTAAACTCGTAATTTACGAGATTCGGAGTAAGATCGTTCACTTACAAATAAAAAGAATATTAATACACCATAATACTAAGTGACTTGACTTTATTATGTTCTAAATTCCCCTTTAAATCCGACGGCGACATGATTATAATTTCCACCTATATGCGCATGTATGTCCAAAATTTAATCTTTTCATAACTGCTAATTAATAGTCCTTAAAGACGGAAACCGGTGTCCTGTAAATAAAACTGAAAACATTATACCTTGACGTGAATCACAAAATCCAGATTCTAATTTATTAAAAAAATGATATAGTTAACTACTGTTGAAAAAAATAGTATTTTTTTTCGTTGAGAGTTGAAATCAATAACATTCTGCTTACTAAATGGGTGCTCTAACCAGCTATACAACTTTGTTGACATTGTTAACTAGTATGGATTTGTACAATGGGTATTTTTTGGTCGAATGGGTAAAGAGATCATCTGAACAATCATTACTTTCAGTTGGTGTGACATGCAAGCATGGTACGTTAAGATTTGAAAATTTAAGGAGGAATAAGTGCCGACGCTGCTCTTAGCTAGAATATTTATCTGATGCGTGTATGAGCCGCGTGTTCTTCTCTTAAGCATAGACTCTCAATCCTCGTAGCTATATATATATATATATATATATATATATATATATATATATATTCAAAGGACACAAACTCAAGACGTTGGTATTGATTGATGCGATTTTCACCTTATAAACATATATCCCTAGCTTGCCAGCCATTCCCAACTAATTTTTTCAATATATATGTGTGTGTGTGTATAAGCTCTCGTTCTCATTCTTTATATAAAAGCCAGCCAACGTCCTCAATTCGATCCAGGACATGTAAGCAGCATTTTGATTTCGATTTATATATGTTGTTTAATTTGTTTATGTTTATCTTACTGCTTTCAAGTTAATCTGAATAAGTTTTTTAATTAAGGTAGGATGATGTTTCAAAGTAGTCATAGCTAGTCGACGTCAACGCCTCCGCGGATTGCCATGCAAGTAATTTCGTTTTAGCAGTAATCTTTGAATTTTGTCAAATTAATCCTTATCATATCAGGAGCTGGTAATATTGACAGTTGAGCCTATCAACTACAAGTGTTTGTTTTATACAGTATTTCCTAATAAGGCTTAAAAAAAATTAAGATTGCCTATAAATATTTGTTAATTTTCTTCAACAATTAAGGACACTCTAAACTTTTTTCTAATAATTAAGGAGATTTTTCTATGTAAATAAGTTTGCATATTATGTACCAAACTGTTGAGCTTTTTTAGGTGGTTTTGTCATTGGTTGTAAGAGATAAGTTTGCTACAAGTTTTGAGGTTCGGCTTTAATGCTACGTAGAGTGTTTTAGCTGTTAAATTTGATTTTTGCAATTATGTAGTCTATGTTAGATCATCTATTTTAGAAAAATGCAAGTTATAGAAGTTAAAATTTTGTCATAAGCCTGCATGTGTCAAACTCCCTAAGTGTTATGGGAAGTTTTTTTTATTTAAGACTCTATGTAGTTTTATAATTTGATTTTTATTTATTTATTTCTGCAGGCTGCACATACAGGTTGGTCTGATCTGTTAATGAAGATTCAAGAACAGGTTATATATATGTATATATATCTACTAGATAGAGATATTACATTGAAGCTTATATCTAATTACTCTCATCCTTATGAGGATGATAATCTTGACGATATATATATATATATATATATATATATATAGTCTTGAAATAGAGTAGATCTGGTTTCCATTTCTTATTCTCTTCTTTTATCAGCCTTTTATACATAGGATCTTTAACCTATATTTCTCCTCATCAACATTATTTTATATTCTTATCTAATTGCTAACAATTTTCATATATACCAAGTGTTTTTTTCAATGTTTCTTTCACCTTGTATTATTGTATGTACTGCTTATCATACATGGCCTCTCTGTTGGAGATAAAAAGCATATTTTGTGCAGATCAGATATGTCTCACATAATGGCTTGAATATTTACTCTTCGTAGGACCCAAGGAAATGTGGTAGCTAGGTATAGTGAATTTAAAATATTTAACAATTTTATTTCAAAGTGCAAAACTTAATTTACTTTCAAAGTTTGAATTGGAATGAATTAACCACTATTTTTAAGGTAGAAGATGAATTGCTCATTAAAAAACGTAGTCATTTCAATCCTCTCTAAAATGATAGGATTAGAAAGGAAGAAGTTTTCTTTATGTCTAATCCCCTCAAAATGAAAGATTCCACTATGCCTTCAATATACCTTGATTTACAGGGTTATATATCTAACCCAATACTGAGCCAAAACGACACCATAATTTATAAATGGTAATGCTTTGTTGCAATATGTTATCAAAAAGCATTTAGTAGACCGTTAATTTGGGTCACACATGCATTGAAATGAGAAACATTTAGTTAGTGGTCTAAATTAACGTTAATGGTGTGATAAAAGGAAGTTTACACAACTCTTTCAAAAGATTTTTACAATTCTTTGCATATCTGAATTATAAATATGGATCTGATAACAGTATGCATATGTTGGTCTCATATCATGTTGAAAATTCAATAAGGATCAACATATATATTCCCCATTTCGTATGAAATATTATTAAACATGAGATACAATATTAAATGATAATTGCTATTATGCTATCAAGTTGCAGTTTAAGGGAAAACCTGAAATCAACAGGAAGTCGTTAGTTCGTGATATGTTTCTTTTGTGTTATATATTTTTAATTGCAAAATAATGGATGCTTGGACAGTCGGTGGTCATCAGATTAATACGACCAGAGTCTTGTTTTCTTCTGCTAGGGAGCAGTTTATTTGCTTCCTTTTTTTTTTTTTTTTTTTTTTGGCTTTTAGTTGCAAAAGTTTATTTATTTGGTTTTTGCTCAAATTTATTTGTTTATTTATAGTGCTCATATAATCTGAACGAATTATTCTCTTTCTTTGTTTGGGAAATTTTTGAAAAGGTTGAAAATCCTAGGTCAGAGGAAAATCCACTCGACAGCTCTAAGTGTGGCCACTCTTTATTTAGTTAATTAAGCTGCTCAAATCAATTTATTAGATCAACCTGCAGAACGTCTTCTTCTTCTTTAGATAAGACATATTCAATTTTTAATAGTGTTAGAAACACCAACTTTTAAGATGTCTATTGTTTAGTTAGTATTTCATTTGTTTTCTGTTCAGACCTATTTTTGAAACTTATTTATTGATAATATATAAGAAGTTCAGCGTCATCAAAATTAATGTCAACTTTCATTAATAAAAAAAACTAAAACTTGGCAAGACGGATTTAACGAGCATTGAGAGTAATCCAATAGGAATCAAAGAAAAACTTGGGAATGAAGATTTTTGTTCATTTAAATTAAGGAAAAGTATAAAATTAAAAAAAAAAATAGATAACTTCCATGTCTAGTGCCTGGCAAAAGGACATGGACACAACTACTAGTGTAGACTCCAAAAGTTGGAAAGGAAACGGCCATAACGTTTTCATCGACGACGAAGGGAACCATAAGAAACAATAGCAACGCGGTGTTGTCTCAACCTCTTTTCTCATCGTCTTCAAAACCCACTTGTAATTATTTGTTATCAAATCGATCGAGTTCTTTTTAATCTCTTCTCCCTTCTCTCATAACATTCCCTTTCCTCTCCCTCTCCCTCTCACTCTATATGTCTTTGAATTTCTAAGCATGGACTCGGACCCACCATTTCGCAAGGCCTACAAGACCCTTTTCGACAACACCGTCAACAAAGCCAACAACATCAGCAACAACAAGGAGGAGGTGCTACAACAGCTTGTTACAGTGGAGGAATGTGAACTGCCGTTGATTGATCTTAGGCGGCTGGAGCTCGGAGAAAAGGAGAGGGAGAAGTGCATGACGGAAATAGCTAGGGCATCGCAAGAGTGGGGTTTCTTTCAGGTAGTGAATCATGGGATTTCAGGAGGGCTTCTTCAGAAGATGAAGATTGAGCAAGAGAAGCTGTTCAAGCAATCTTTTGATAAGAAGAGGCAAGAGGACAAGCACTTGAACTTTTCACCGGGAACTTATCGTTGGGGAACTCCTTCTGCCACATGCCTACGGCAGTTAGCATGGTCTGAAGCTTTTCACATTCCACTCAACGACATTTCTGCTACATCAGCTTCTGGTCTCAACCATACACTCAGGTAAAAATTTACAAACTTTCAGGTTCATGAATTGTACATCTTTGGAGTCTCAACAGCACCGTACCAATCCACTAATACCATAGGAATCATCGATAAAATAAACAAGTGATATTCTTACAGAAATTATGCACTATACCCTATTAGAATCACTGATTATTAATTTTTTTTTATCAACCAAGGTGGAGAATTAACTGATAAATTATTGAATGTGTGACATTTTTTAATATAAAAAAGAGAAGTATCACCGATTCACCGGACCAAATAGTAGTGTTATACACTAGTGTAGAGGTCTCGGATTTGAACCTGGCCAAATGCATACAATATTTTGATAAATTTTTGCACAAAAAATTTATATACACCGAAGGAAGTTAAAGTTCCAATCACAAAAGTAATTGGCAATCGAAAAAGTGACCCACAGGTTATAACCCCTTGCAAGTTTTCTTATCTTTATAATTTACATTGACCAAAAATACTTTCAGATGTACAGTATATGTTCTTCATGTCCTCACCTCACATATATATGGTCTTGTTGGTTTCTTGAGTCTGATTTTTGCATACTCATGAATCCCATAGAAATTGGAAAAGTTGGTGAAACCGACTGCTCAGTAGCTATGAGTCAGCTTCTGCATCACATGCAGTCATTTAGGAACCACAAACTAAGTTTCAGAGAACTTGCATGTGATGCAGTACTTCTTCCAAATTTCTAGCAGCTTCATACATAGATACATACATACATATATACAGTGTGCAGTGTATCTTTTTTGTTCTAGATCGATCTAGCAATTGTACGCAGAAATGTAGAGTACGTAGTACTTATCTTCATCGATGCCAGAATTGCTTCCCTGTCATGGACAAATTACAGATATATATTTGCTGTCATAGTTATCTTACCTTTACTTCTTCTTGTTGTAGAGTTAATTATTAATGCAATTAAACTAATTATATTATTTTACTCCTACAGTTTTTACTCTCAAATTAACCTGAGAAGTGAAACCCCTGTACGTAGTGTATGCATGGCCCCTCTCTCGTATAATACCTTGATCAGTTCTTGCAACTTATTAAAAAATAAATAAATTCTTGCTTCATGTTGCTATAATAGTAAATAATTAACAGTTCATCTTTAGAAGTGATCATTAATCATTTTCAGTACCATTTGTGCAAGATTGAATTAATAATTTGGCACTAATGATTTAATTGGGAACTAAGTCAATTTCTCCAATTATATTTGCATGTATCCAGCTCAACAATGGAACAATTTGCTACAACAGTTTCAAGTTTGGCACTGAAATTGGCTGAAATTTTGGCTGAGAAATTAGGTCACAAGTCAACATTTTTCCTAGAAAATTGTTTGCCCAGCACTTGTTATCTTCGAATGAACCGATATCCGCCTTGCCCCATCCCTTCTGAGGTGTTTGGATTGATGCCACACACTGATAGTGATTTCCTTACAATATTGCACCAAGACCAGGTTGGAGGATTGCAGTTGATCAAAGACGATAGATGGATCGCAGTTAAACCTAATCCAGAAGCTCTCATCATTAACATTGGAGATCTATTTCAGGTAATTTTAAATTTTTGATTCACATCATTAATTATGATATTTCAAACATGTATACTGGATCATATCTGCATACATATAGACAGGGCACGTTTAGGAACACTATGTAGGAAGTGCTTTTTATTCATAAGTGATTCTTGTTAGAAGCGATTTTGTAAAAGGTGCTTTTTCAATCTATAAGGCTTTACAGCTTACTTGGAAGTGCTTTTTAAGTAACTAAAAGTGTTTTTGACAATATTTGGGAGAAAAAACTCAAAGTGCCTATGGGTTTAAAAATAGCACTTCATAGTGGTTTATTGGAATAAGCACTGCTTTTTTATTTATTTTTTTCATAAGGCACTTCAAGTGTTTTTCAAAATTGTACTTGTATATTTTAATTACAAATTTCGATATACTTACTTTATATAAAACGCTTTTACTAGGAAGCGATTATAAGCACAAATGCCTTTAATTATCTAAAAACGAAGTTTAGATGACAACACAAGATCCTTTTTTATGTAAATAATACAAGTTACTTGTTTCATTATCTCATTAGTTTTATTGTTTTCTTCTTTGTCTAGCTAGGCATGGAGCAACAACGTGTACAAGAGTGTTCAACATCGAGTTGTTACGAATTTGCAAGTGGAACGATTCTCAACTGCATATTTCTTATGTCCTTCATATGACACCGTGATACAGAGTTGCAGGGAGCCTTCTGTCTATAGAAAATTCAGCTTTGGGGAGTACAGGCGGCAAGTCCAAGAGGATGTTCAAAAATTGGGTTCAAAAATAGGTCTTCCGAGATTTGTCGTATAATTAGTAATTAATTAAACCACTACAGAAGAATTCTACTAGTGAATTATTAGGCTATTTCTAGATATATATGCGGGGGATAATTGATATATTTAAAAATGTTATGCATAATTAAGCTAAGCTTCGAAAAAATATAGAGTACTTGGAGTTAAAGGAAGACTTGGCGCAAAATCTAGTGGAGTGCTATTCTAATATTCATACAACCGACCTTAATTAGTGAAATATGACTTGGTGGTTGTTGTTATTGTTGTATAATTAAGCTTTCATATATATATATATATATTTTTTTTTTTTTGTTTTTTGTAAGCATAGTTTTGTATTAGAAATGGAAATTAAGGTGGTATAGCAGTTCGGTATAGTTAAGGGTTTTCCTTTGTTTGCTGCAAACAATTAAGGGTTTATGTTAGCCAAAATTATTAGACGATTTGTTTGGATCGATCATTGTAAGTTGGGATAATGAGAATGTAAGGATTGATCAATATTGATTATTGTTTTACTTCTTTATTCTGTTAATTATTACTTTCAAACTATATTTTGAAACTGGGAAAAAAAATGATCCTACTTAAAAAACCTTAGCTATCTCAAAAACTCACTTTTCATATTTAGGCAGGTTTGCTCCCTGGTCTTGGGTATAGGCACGAAGCTAGGTAAAAACATGTGCGATTCCCTAGTTGAAAGTTCTAGGAGGACGCGTGTCATTTGGTTGTGGTAAGGAGCTGGTTGAAATGTCTTTAGTCTTTACGGGTCTCACTAGGGAATAGTCCTACCTTCTGGGTGTGGGATACCTTAAGATTTGGCAAAAACAAAATAGGCAGCTGGGGGGAGAGGGGGTGTTTCGGCCAGATCTTTGCCGCATAGCAGGTGATTCTGGTTCGACCTCTGTTATCCTTCTCGTCTTGAGGAGATCTTCCTCGTTTGGTTTCTATTTGTCTCAAATCCCAACTATCTTGTTAGATCAATGTTTCTCCCACTTTGAACTGTGTACTAAATCTAACTTTTTGGGTAAGATAGTGGGTGGCCTCGATATGGCATCAGGGGCGCTATAGGATGAATTTTGCACATCTATGAGAATCATCTATGAGAATCATAAGCGTTGCAACTCGTGAGCTTTAGTTTCCAAAACCTTAGTTTGAATTCGTTGTATATTTTGTAGTGTCTCTAGTTGTGAGAGTCTTTCGTTTGCTTTTAGTATAGATACACACACACACACACACACACACACACAGATTGCTTAAGGGGAGGGATCCCCATTTTTTCAAAAAAATGGGGACACGCTCCCCACCATTAGATTGGTTTTAATGAAATTATGTGGTTGAGATTAAAACACAGACCACACAATCTCAACCACACAATTTTATTAAAATTAAATCCAACGGTGAGGAGCATGTCCCCATTTTTTTAGAAAAATGGGGATCCCTCCCCTTAAGCAATATGTATGTGTGTGTGTGTGTGTGTGGCACTATAATGTTGTGTGATATTTATTGGTGACTCGTATCAAATGACTTTTTACATAAGAACAGAGTGTGAAGCGCGACAAAATATAATAATAATAATTTATTCATTGAGCTCTAGGAATAGCGACATGAACTAAATATCTTGTCCAAGCCAAAGAACTCACTTCAAATAGTCTTGACAATTGATGATTTAGTCGAGATTCAGCATTTCTAAATCATCAAACGCTCAGTTTTCATTTCGATTGTAGGTGTAACCAACCCGCTATTAAGGATATGGTAGAAAGAAATAATAGAAAAAGAGCTCCAATATAAAGATCCTCTTTAGTACGTTAATTGACTGTATACCATCATTGATAACACCAAAATTCACCGAGGCATTTCTCTAATGCTTGGTAGACTTGTTGTCACTGGCCAAACCATGTTGCGCAAGCAATCTGATAAGTGATATCGAGAGAATATGTGGAGTGATGTTGATGCAACTATCGAGTTATGCCTAGCAGACATTACATCAGACACTTGGTAGACACAAAATGAACCCCTACTAAACATTTGGAGGGTCCTTAGAAGGCCTTCATATGTGTATTCTCGAAACTATGGGTGGTTTTGTGACCACCTTTATTCCAATGTACATTTGCCTCTGAAATTGTGGTATTTGGTGTTAGAATCAACGGTCTTTTTATCCATCGTTTTTGTTCGTAATTCTTTTCATATCTTTCAACTTTGCATTATTATTTGCACAAATCTGATTTTGAGATTGATCGCTAGCAAAAATTTTACACTTATTTGATGATATGTTTGTTCATCGTTCGAAGTTTTCTGCAATCAAGGTAAATACTGCATGTTTGTATGTTGTAATACTTATGTATAGTAATTCTTTAGGACGTAAATACCCTCAATTCAATATACGGTATTGCACTATGTATTGTTAAATTTAGAACAAAGTACTTAGTTACAAAGTTTGAATTTTAGTTATTAGTCATAAAATATTTGTAGGCCTTCCAAAGTCAATCATAGTTTTTGAATAAAACTCGATCCCACGAACGTATAAGTGAAAACCGTTTGCAAATCGAATTAATTTGAAGTTTTTACAGAACGCTAAACTCAAGGATAATTCTTAGTTTTCTCCATTTCTGGTAGAATTGTGTTGCCTGCTAGTGGTAGTGGGACCCAAGGGGATATTTTCATTCCCGCTCTTCTTCCAGGCTTGCGGGAACTCTCCCGATCTCTTTCTCGTCGTCCTCGGGAGACCACATCGACGCCACCACAATATTCCCCGCAAGATCCACTACAAAAAAAATTCATCACGATATTCACACACCAAAAAGATAAAAAAAAAAAAAAAATCATCACGGACTCATCATGATTCCTGAGCACAACTAAATTTGCTGGTCAACGAGTCAACGAGATTTGAGGAGGAGAAGCTCGAACTCAGTGGAGGGAAGCAACTCCGGCGAAATTCCGAGCCCAAAGCCAAGGTTCAAGCTCAAACCGAGGCTTAAGTACTAATTTGGTATTGAGATGATTTTATAAAAAATTAGTATAAAAAAATGATGAGCTCAAAAATATGTCTGTTAAATACTTAAAACTGCTTATTTTCACAGTTTTGAGTGAAAAAAAGCTGAAAACGTGAAGCAGTAAAAATGAGTTTATTCTCCCAACATAGCAGAAGCAATTTTTTTTTCAAAGCACAGCAATATCAAACCAGCCTTAAGAGTGGCCGAACAAGATGACAAATTACGGCAGGTGTAGAATGTCAAGTTTGACATTTTAGCTTCTGACAATTTATCACATGCGGGTTTGTGGAACATTTACTTGGGCCTGACCCAACTCCAAAACCGGAGCCTGGGTCCCATTGACATAACACTGCGCATGTCTTTATGGCAGATAGGCCTCGGCCCATACCCGATGCCAACTATTTGCGCGTGAATGTCACTGCGTGCATAAGTTTGAATCCCTAAGGATGAGTTTTTTGAGATTAAAAAGATTAATTAAATTAATTATTGAGTTTATTTATTAGACACCGAGCTTGAGAGACCCAAGGCCTAAGGCCTATCTTCTTCTATATATAAAGTGAGAGCTTCAGTTTGGTGAAACATTCAACATTATCAAAAATGTCCTTATTTAATAAGAGAGATAACTCAAAGGGACTAGCCTGTCCACACTCATATGCGAGAGGCATTTTCTTTAATCACGGGCACTACTCGCCCCTTAAGATGTGTTGTGTTAGTTGTTTTCTTTCTCATACCGCTTCATACAAATAAAATAGAACGTGCACTTCTAAATAAGAAAGAAATACGACATAAAGTTGTGTGTAAAATGCGTAATAAACAAAAAAACTCCTTGCATGCGAAAGCAAGTTTGAAGATGTTAACGAAGAATAAAGGAATAAATACAGCAAGGAACCAAATAATAGTGTTTGATAAAAATAAAAATAAAAAAACTAAACAATTAATTCATGACATTAAGCTGAGCAATAATTTATATGTATCATCTTGTCCTTAAAATACCACAAAATACAGCACACTTAAATCACATCTCTTTGAACACTTTATCTTATTAAAAGCTGCTAATTAAATATGAGTTGATAGGGTTTGTGGCTTCATAATATAATTTCTACTATTTTTCTAGACATATTTGTTGAACTTTCCCATTAATTCCACCTGCAAGCTCTTCCGTAAATTCAATGCTCCCACAACTTTGGTACTTTTTTCCATGGCTGCAAACGGATCATTGAAATGAGAATATGGGTTGAAGTGTACATAATTAGACGAAAAGTAAGAAATGAAATAGTCGTATCGAATTAGATTGAATCCCAAAGCTCAATCAAGATAATATCAAATGTAAAATTCCTTATTATGATTTCGTTGCCATGTTGAGCTGTATAAATTTGTTATTGTCACCAAAATTTAAATGGTTCGTTTGGATGTACTTTTAAAATAACTGAAAGTGCTTTTAGAGAAAATGTTGTTGCATTCCAAAAGCACTTTAAGTGTTTTCTGGAAGAAGCATCAGTTATGTGTTTTTTCCAAGAAGCACTTTAAGTGCTTTTCCAAGATTTACTTGCATTTTTACTAAGGATTCGTTCCAAAAACATTTTCATCAAAAACGCTTTCAATTATTTTAAAAGCACATCCAAACGAGTTTTAAAACAAATCAACCTATGTTCACAGAACGCAGTTAACCCTTCTTTTGCATAATCTTTGATATGAGCTCTCAATTTGGATTAGAGAGGAAATCATACAATTCTAAAAAGTACTCTCAAACATTAACAACCAATCTGGTATGAATTTCGAAAATTTCATGTAACAAACTTTATATTAATTGGAAAAACCTCCATAAATGAAACCGATGATGGAGCAATTATTTTCAAATTGCATACCAATTGATTGGACACCTTCCACAAAGAAACCACACATCATTAGCCCGCCCGGATTCCCACCACATCCCGGACTCGACTCCACTGTAACACGATATTGTTCACTTTGGGCCTCAACCACTGCCCTCACGGTTTTGTTTCTGGAAACTCACACAATAACTTCTCAGTAGGTCACTCATCATAGGAACGCTCTCGCCCCTTACTCGCTTAATTTTGGAGTTCCAATGGAAACTGAAGCCAATGAGCTCCTCAAATGCCTCGTGCTAGGTACGGATGAGAATATACACATAAGGCTTATAGGATCCACTCCCCTGGTCGATGTGGGATGTTTCAATCCACCACCCTTAGGGGCCCGATGTCCTTGTCGGCACACATCCGGCCAGGGATTGGCTCTGATACCAAATTGTCACATCCCAGGCTCGACTACTCGGGCTGGGATGTGACAAGTGTGCTTGAAATGTTGTAAAGCCCTGAAATTGGTACAATTTAAAGTTTAAGTTCATATGATTATATTTCTATACAATAGCATCAAAAATGGACTAAAGTGTAGAATATCAATTTCAATTTAATTATTAACCAAATCTCAATAACTATAAAAGTAGATCAAAGAAGAAAAAGCACATATCATGCCTATGCATGTACGTTTGCTTCTGCACATGAAAAAGAAATACAAATGAAAAAGAATACACATATGAATAAAATTAGACATC